AAGGAAATGAGAGACGGGCGTCCACTTGATGGCCCAGCATCGGATAATCCCCTCGAGCACTGCTTGATCGTCGCCTTCACGCCCTAAATAGATAGTCAGCGGACATGCTTAAAAGGGGATAGTCGCAGGGCTCAAGTTAGCTGAAGTTTGCCTTTTAGCTTGCATGCTAGCGCTACTGCAGGCGGTCGTTTTAAGTGGCATAGAACACTCGCAAAAAAAATGTTTTTCCTCGCTCCTTCTCCTTCGTAAATTTCTATGAAACATTCTTTTTTCGTAGGATGTCGCTGCGCTTTCTATATCACCAGCTGTTTTCAAAGGGAACTGATATTCTTATCACAATTGCGTAGACCGCGAATTCCTCCCCGTGTTTTTTTTGAAATTTGGTTTTTGGGTGTTTCAGCCTCATTTCTTTCTACAGTTCACATGCTTGGTCCTTCGTTCTCGATTAACGTTCCGTTTCTCATAAAAGGACTGCAACTTGACACGGATGAAAGCCGCATTCGTTTGTAACAGCTTCTAGCTTAAAATACATTGCGATATGTCGCTCATTCTTGCACCCCTTCTCAAGCTTGGAACTTTTTTAATGATGAGAGCAGGTACAAGAATGAGCGAAAGCGAGCAAAATATGCTTTCAGAAGTATTGAAATTGAAAAATTGCTACTTCGCGTTTCTCAAACGCATGCGAGTGGCTGCAGCGCATGCAGCACAGTTCGGAAACAGTTCCAGCACAGGGCGAGAACTGTGTTGGAACAGATCTCAATACTTTTCTTGTGTTGGAACAGTTCCAAAACTTCCGACTCAGTATGAAGTAGGCCTAAGCCGCTATCGCCATCAACGCTGAATTCAGGCAAACTTCAGGGACATATCGAAAAACAAAAAACGCAAAAAGAAAATAAGGATTTTAAGCCTAACTTCAGAGAATTGGACGCACGCAGGTAGTGACCGCAAACCTCATGGACCACCTGGTAGATCCTTAAAAATGACTTTTCTACACTGTTTCGAGCATTGAAGGTTG